CAATGGTGAGCGGTGGCTGTGTGTTTTTACCTTCCCGAGCTGCAGCGGGTCCCAGTGGTGGTTCACAAAGGCCAGGATCTCCTCAAAGTCGAAGTATTTCTTCTTGCTCTGAACGCCCAGGTTGTAGAGGGCGAGATGGACGACATCCACCCTGCAGGAGCAGAGGGGGTGAGGGGGTCAGCAGCCCACCCTCGTGGTACCCACCACGGTGCTCAAGCACAGCCCGAGGCAGCCGTGTCCCAGCAGCCCATTAGCACCAGGAACACCTCCGAGCACAAGTGGAACAGCAGGGAAAAGCTGGGCTGCTGGCACTTAATACACTTTATAAAATGCTTTTAGACCATCAAGGCACACTAGAAGGTGCCCCTTGTATACTGGTACTTAATGACAGAATTTGAGGACTTGTCAGCCCACTGATTTTTGCAGTTACATCCTGGCAAATGTGTACCTTGGCTCCCGGACAAACTGGGTTTGGGGAATATTGAGAAAGAGCTCCTCTGGGAAACAGCCGCTTGGCCCGAGCAGGAGGAGCTGCACCCAGGGCCAAGCAAAGGCACCAGCTCAGGGCTGGGCTGAGATGCACAGGAGATGCTCTGCGAACTCGCACCACCAAAACTCAGCTCTAGAGCTGGCCCCGTGGCAAGGGTTCAAAGCACCAGGCATTGGCCAGCCCAGTGACCTGTGGCCACCTTGGCACATCCCAAAGAAGTCAGGGCTGTTTCTTACCATCGCAGGGGCAGGCGCTTGATGTACTCAGGTCCCTGGTTGCACACGGAGCAGAAAAACACATAAAATCTGGAAAAGAGTGGGGAGGGGAGTGCTGGGGATGGGGGGGGGTTATCCCTGCAGCCCCTGGGGATGAGTCGGAGTGAGGACAGTGTCAATGGTGACAGTCGGTGCCACAGCTGGGTCAGGTAGATACAGACTGGGGAAGTGCCCATGCACAAGCAACCCCTTAGGAAACCAGTTCCAACACCCAGCACCAGCCCAGCAAGGTCTGGGAGGGACGTACCGGTCTCCAAACATCATCGGGTCACTGAGGCACTGGGTGCAGGCTTCGTGGAACCACTGCCGGCAGCGGTAGCACTGCAGCATCTTCAGGTACCACCTGAGGAAGGAGGGGAGGAGGGTGATGGCAATGGCAGCACACAGCAGACCCTGCCCTGGCCCCCTCCCAGACACAGACTTCCCAGTCAGGGAGAGGAAGTTGGGCCCTAAATTGTATTTTCCACAGCCATAGAGGTGGGGGCAAATGGTGCCTCCAGGAGCGGGGACCTGGATGGCGGAGGCGGGAGACATCAATCTTGGGGGAAAAAATCTCCCCAACCTGACCCTGCCTGCCTTTTGCAAATGCTTTCCCCCCCAAAACCAACCACGACAACCAGTGGGGGCTTACTCGCCAGGGCCCCCACAGTAGCAGTAGCACTGCTGCTGGTTGGTGCGGTGCGGGGAGTCCCACTCCAGCAGGTCAGGGTTGTAGGACAGCACCATCTTGACGGCTTGCAGCGTCTTGGCAATGGCTCCCTTCTTCAGGGCACCCCCTTTCTGCGGGAGCAAGCGGGACGGGGGTCAGATCCTGCCTCACTGCGCCGAGGACAAGCGGCACAGAGCCAGAGACCTCAACAGCCCCACTCACCCGCACGGCCAGGGCAAATATGCAGCGGCGGCAGAACCACGGCGTCCCCAGCGGACCCTCAGTGCCGCTCGCCACCGGGACGTGGCACTGCTGGTGATAACCTGTGGGAGGGCTCAGCGTCAGGGCCATCAGGCTGGCCGGACCCTTGCCCCTGGGGTGGGACACAGCAGACCCCGGTGTGACACATCCACAACTCACCCAGCCCACACTTCCCGCAGATGAGGATTTCGTTTCTGGGGCCTGAAGTCTTTCCCAGGCAGACGTTGCACTTGGGCTCCTCCCCAGGGACACCGGCTGCGGGATGGATATGGTCCTTTTACTGGGGGAAGGACCCTCCAGTGCAGCGGTGGGAGGGGAGGATGGGGCGGCACTCACCATGCTGGATGTCCTTCCAGAGGACCCAGTACTTGGAGTTGTCCTCAAATGTGACGAGGCAGCTCTGCTTGGAGCCACTCACCTGCAGGGAAAGCTGGCAGGTGTCAGCCCCCCATTCCCAGTGCATCCCCGTCCTCCCAGCCTTTTTGGGGCTGCAGGAAGTTAGGTTTGGGGTGTGATACCCAGAGGCAAGACGTCAACCCAAAACACCCCACTGACCAAAGACATATTGCAGCCCAGACCAGCATCCCTTCAAGCTGCAAGCTCACCAAGGGAAAGGCGCTAGCTACACTTAGAGTACCCACCTTACCCTTTTGGGTGCCCACCTTACCCTTTTGATCTTCCCGAGGTAATAGAGCCCATCGGTCCAGCGGCACAGCACATACTGCCCCTCTGTCAGCTTGACCATCAGCTCTCGGCCGGCCCTGCCCCTCAGCCGACACTTGCTGGACACGGCCAGCAGCCGCGTAGACATCCCGGATGATGGGGCTGAGCTTGGCGGTCTCCATCAGCAGAGCCTGGAGGGGACACACACACTCATCACCCTGCCCTCACACTGTCACACAACGCGTCACGCAGCATGGAGCTACCCCACCGTGGGGCATGGGACAGACCACACGGCATGGGACACACTTCATGCCACAGGCCTGCACAGGCTGCGCCTCGGAAGGGGCACATGCGGGATTAACAGCTTTACATTCAATGTCATTTTCAATTCACAATTTCCTGGCATTTTTGCCGGCTCTCAAACCATCGGGACAACTACACGGGTCGGGAAATGTCAGCGATACACATGGTGACTGACACCCAGCAGCGCAGTGGGGTCACAGCCCGTCCCCAGGCGGCAGCGCTGTCCCCGCAGCCCCAGTTGCGACCCTTCCCAGCCACCAGCAAAACAACTTAAAAGTGACTTCCCCCCACGTTGCGCTCCCGTCACCTCACGCCGCGGATCCCGACACGAAACCTC